TATATATATATATATATATATATATATATATATATATATATATATATATATATATATATATATATATATATATATATATATATATATATATAAACATATAAACATATATCTATATATCTATATATATATATATATATATATAGCATACATACATACATACATAAATACATAAATACATATACACATATATACATAAATAAATACACAATACACACACGCACACAATATATGTATATAGATATATATATATATATATATATATATACATTTATACATATATAATCATATATACACATTCATACATATACTCGTACATAAACTTATCCCCACACAATCCACCTACCGGAATTGTTCCAGTTCCATGCCATCTTCGTCCAAGGTCTCTCGCTTGGCCAACAGCCCACGTAGTTCGTATTCCGTGTCTGCTTTGAGCTGAGCTAGCTTGTCCTCCCACACAATCAGTTCATTGGCTGATTGGTCCAGGGTGTGTTGTAGCTCACCTCTATCCGGGATGTTGGCTTGGGTCTCCTGGATGGCTACAGCCAGGTTCTGGATGTCTTGCTGTATGTGTTAATGGTAATGGATGTATGTGATGGTGTCAGTGGTAATGGTAATGTTAATGTTAATATTAATGTAAGAGTTAAAGTTGAATTTCAAGTTAAAGTTAATGTTATAGATTAAAGTTGAAGTTTAAGTTTTAAGTTGAAGTTAAAGTTAAAACTGAAGATAAATGTTAGTGGTTATATGTGAGGTCGTAGCTTGCATTGGGTATCATATGTATTGTGGTACGTTTGTAATAGACACCTACAGTACTGCAGACGCTTTTATCTCCAATGAATGGCGCTGAGGGGTTCTCTGGTCGCAAATGTTGGTAGGTAAGTCCTATATATGGCCCCCATCGGATACTTGAAAATCAAACCCTAAAACCATGGTTCCCATCCGATACCCCAAGTCTGTGCTATGTACCGCTCACAGGGTTCATGAGCCTGCCTAGTACATCTCCAGGCTGAGAATGCACCACCAACGAGTATACTCCCCACTACTGACTATTCGTAATCGTCTTCCGACATGTCGGTACATATAGGTTATAAACCCTAAAACCGTAAAAACCGTAAAAACCCAATCGCTCTATTGAACCGAGCGTGTATCCAGAACCATACGCACGCTCCCATACCCCCACAAGCACGCAGTATATACTCATACACACGCGAAGACACGCACGTAGACAGATTAATGGAGTATACCATACCTACAACACCCATACACACCTCCTCCTACAACACCCATACACACCTCCACCTACAACACCCTTACACACCTCCACCTACAACACCCTTACACACCTCCGCCTACAACACCCATACACTCCTCCACCTACAACACCCATACACTCCTCCACCTACAACACTTGCTTAAAATACGCACGTAGACAAATTAATCAAGTATACCACACCTACAACACCCATACACACCTCCACCTATAACAATTGCTTAAAATACGCACGTAGACAGATTAACGGAGTATACCAT